TCCCACCCCATTCTTCCAACACAAGCAACCTAGGGATGTTTCAGAGCTGGAGTAATGGGAGAATAAAGAGAACCTGACTGTGAGTGAGGTAACCCTGAGTTCTCAGAATTCCAGAGCTAGGAGGGACAGCTCAGCCCTTCCTCTACTACCATGAGAATCTCCTCTATACTGTACCCCCAAAATGGTCACCCAATCCCTAATTCTAGGCCATGATGTGAGGTGAGCTCCCAACCCCTTTGGCCCTCATGTTTAGATCTATGAAATTTGGGGTACAGATCGACCTGCATCTACAATCCACAAGTCTAAACTCTAAGTCACTTCCCTTTTCCTGTGGGTCAAATGTACCTGCTCTAAAATGGGACTGAAGGTCCATCCCTGTTTGGCAGGGCCCTGGGCTCTTTGGAAAGAGACACTATGCAAATGAAAGGAGGAGTAGAGGCTGAAACAAAACTAGACTGAGTTGGGGCGAGAAGACCAGGGCCAGCAGACCCACCCTTGCCCCAGTCTTACTTCCTCAAAGTTTCCCTGATTTTAGAAACAAAGTTGAGTTCTAGCCTTTGTATCATCTTGAAAGCAAGAAGTGAAAGGGATGAACAAACCAGCACCTCAGCAAAAACAAAAACCCAAATGAGGCCAAGAGAGGAGGAGGGGAACCAGGCCTCCCTGGGCAAAGGGGACCAAGGGACTGCAGCTGGGGGAGCAACTTGGCCACCCAGAGAATTCTGGTTTCAGGAAGTGTAGCCCCAAGGCGAGCTCCTCAAAGGAGAAGCGGAGGGGTTTCACCTCCTCATCTTGACATTTCTCTTCTCAGCTCTGTCCCACTGACCTTCCCGTGGCCAGCCAAGCCCCGTCACCACCTCAAGAGCAGGCCCATCCAGGGTAGATGCTTTAAGGTCTCTTTCGATCTCCAACTGCCCATATATTGCCACAAGTCTTTGGGCCAGCCTTCTCTTTACAACCCACCAAGGTCCCGAGCTCCTAATCCTCCATCTCTGCCCACAGTCTCCTATAATTCCACCTCTCCCAATCAACTGCTGCTACAATTCCTCTTCATCCCTTCATTGTGACAAGTAATGCCCTCATTTCTTCCTCTCCTCCAAGCCTCTCCCTTCTCTCAGCTCACATTCCCTGCCCTAGGCAGGCTGGAGACTGTGGCTACTCATTTTCAATGCTTTCTAACATCACCTCTCCTTCTTTGAACTTCCTAGTTCTTTATTCATCCCTCATCAATCCATTCTAGGTGACTATTATCACCCAGTGACTTGGCAGCTGCTCCCTAACAGTCAAAAATGACTTGAGGAAATCTGGAAAATGTGCTGAGGGAATGCTTTGCAAACTGGTGTTTCTTAATGTCCCCGGGAGCCCAATAATGCATTCATTCATTCATTCATTCATCTACTCAATACCACGTTGACCATGACGGCTGTTTCAGACCTTCATGGGATCCTGCATAGATCTCAAGCTGAATGGGATTCCTGAGCCCCTCTGGTCCGAGCCCCTTAATCTGCAAATGAGGAAACTGAGACCCAGAAAGCTACATAACTTCACAAAGGCAGCAAGTGGGAGAAGCAGGATCGGAACGCAGGTTCACCGCCTTCAGAGTTGTTCCTCTTTGTCCTGGTTCAGAGTTGTTCCTCTTTGCCCTAGAACATTTTGCCTTCTGTTCTCTCCTTGACCAAAATCCACTGGTGCACAGGAGGCTTCTCATTCCTAGCCATGATCTGTCTGCTTAGTTTAATAAGATTAGGACTGAATCGAACTTCCAGCCTGGTCCCTCTTCCAAGTGCCTCGGTGTCTCCCCTCTCTCCTCCTCCTCTTCAATCGTAATGGGAGAGATCTCCCCAGTCTTTGCTAAGGTCAGTGTATTCACCTTTTATTACACAGACTTCCCAGTCCCCTGTGGCATCACCTCCCTCTCAGGCATCTCTACTTTCTCCCTCTCTTCTGGTCCCTTATACTGAGCCTACAAGCACACACACGGACCCCCACAGGCTCCCCAGCTGCCATCCTCTCTGGCATCCTTC